CGCGCTGGGAGACGCCGGCGGCCTCAGAGGCATGCCCGACGGAAGGCCGCTCGCGCTGCGTTTTCCGCTCGCGGAAGTGCCGGGCCGTCGCGCGCGCGGGAAGTCCAGCGCGAGCGCTCTTCTAGCCGTCGCGCGCGCGGCGGCGCAGAGGCTGCCTCAATCTCGCTCGCGCGCGCCAGGCGGCGCCGCGCCGCAGCGATAGTGGAGCGCGCGAATGCCAAGTACTGCCTGGTAGAGTGTCTCCATTCGCCGAGGGGGCTTGCCCGCCCCGCCGCGCGCTTTCCCGCGCGCCGCCCTTGCTCCCGAGGGGTCCCAGGCGACCGCGTTGACTGCCCGAGGCTCTCCAAATCTCCCAAGACGGCCCCGGGTGGCAGTCGGCCGCCAAGGCGGCCTCAGGTCCTTTCTTGGACGGCCAAAGATGGCTCCGAGACAAATCAACATGGCACCACGGAGGCCCAGCACGGAACCAAGGTGGCTCAGAGAATCCCCCAATACGTCCCAGGACGGCTCACGAGGGCCCCATAAGGACCTCGACAGATCCTAGGGACGACGCTCGCTGATGTTGAAACGGCGCTTCATTGATCTGGGAACATAGTCGCTCCTGGCTTCAATCAGCCCGAGACGGCCAACGAAGCCCCCAATGTTGCCCCGAAACGGCCCAAGACGCCACGACAAAATGAGCCGAGAAATCTCCAGTGGCCCCGATAAAACCCTGACGGCCCTTAAGCGGCACGGGGCGGCCACCAGAGAGCCCCAAGACAGCCTACGAAGACGGCCGAAGGGGTCCAAGACGGCCCAAAAAGGCCTCTCGACCCCCGACGGACCCAGGCGCCCCCGCGACGCCCCGACGAAGGCCGCAAGAGAGACCCAAGACGGCTCATGTGGAGCCCAGAGCAACCCAGGAATGCTGCAAGGGGCCCGCACGGCGGCCCCGCAGGAACCCAATAATGCCCTGATACGGCCCAATCGATTGAGCTCCATGAGGGCGCTTCAAGAAATTGATTGGGAGTGCGTCACATGTGACAGACTAATTTTTACTCCTACACATTAACATCGCCGTCCTCGTCGCCACCATCGTCGTTATCATCGCTCGAACAGTCGCCGCCAAGTGCTGGACTGGTGCGGTTAAGGACTTGCTTCTGCAGCTGGACGCAATGCGAAACGCACTCGGCGACGCGCACGCGGTGCTCGCTTGAGAAGACTCGCCCACTTCCCCTGGCTGCGCAACGCGAGTCCCCGCGCAAACAGCGCGTCACATCGAGGCCTCGCTGTTAAAATGTGCGCCCGTGCGTTCGCGTGTTTCGCGCAGCGTTGGTGCGAAACAAAACTCGTGCAGACAAGCGCGCGCTCGCCTGCTCCGCGGCAGCGAAGCCGTTGGCGCCGCGGGCCATAAAACGAGCCGCGCGTCGCGGGACCCAACGGGAACCGCGCTGTCGGCGAGCGATGGTGCACGCAGAACTCAGGAAATCAAAACCGCCCCCCCGTCGCAAAGCTGAAGTCGATCTTAGTTGTTCCCCACATCCTGGGTGGGGTTCTTGTTTTCCCAGAACACCCTCTCCTTCCCACCCACCTCCCGCTCCATCTTCCATACAGCACAATATTATTCCTACCACACACACCATACCATACCATAGTTCCTACCACACATACCATACCATACCATACCATACCATACCACACCATACGTACCATACCGTACCATACCATACCATGGCGTACCATAGCATACCATACCATATCACACCAATGCCACACCGTACCATACCATACCATACCTCCAGTACCATACCATACCATATCATACCATACCGTACCATACCATACCTACCATACCATTCCATACCACTCCATACCGAAAACCATACTGTTGACATGGTTTCGTGCTCCTCCCACCCCTCCAGGGAGGCCCCGCCTGAGCGAGGAGGGTATCGGAAAACCATACTCTTTACATGGTTTCGTGCCCCTCCCACCCCTCCAGGGAGGCCCCGCCTGAGCGAGGAGGGTATCGGAATACCATACTATTTACCTGGTTTCGTGCCCCTCCCACCCCTCCAGGGAGGCCCCGCCTGAGCGAGGAGGGTATCGGAAACCATACTATTTACATGGTTTCGTGCCCCTCCCACCCCTCCAGGGAGGCCCCGCCTGAGCGAGGAGGGTATCGGAAAACCATACTATTTACATGGTTTCGTGCCCCTCCCACCCCTCCAGGGAGGCCCCGCCTGAGCGAGGAGGGTATCGGAAAACCATACTATTTACATGGTTTCGTGCCCCTCCCACCCCTCCAGGGAGGCCCCGCCTGAGCGAGGAGGGTATGGAAAACCATACTATTTACATGGTTTCGTGCCCCTCCCACCCTCCAGGGAGGCCCCGCCTGAGCGAGGAGGGTATGGAAAACCATACTATTTACATGGTTTCGTGCCCCTCCCACCCTTCCAGGGAGGCCCCGCCTGAGCGAGGAGGGTATCGAAAACCATACTATTTACATGGTTTCGTGCCCCTCCCACCCTCCAGGGAGGCCCCGCCTGAGCGAGGAGGGTATCCGAAAACCATACTATTTACATGGTTTCGTGCCCCTCCCACCTCTCCAGGGAGGCCCCGCCTGAGCGAGGAGGGTATCCGAAAACCATACTATTTACATGGTTTCGTGCCCCTGCCACACCTCCAGGGAGGCCCCGCCTGAGCGAGGAGGGTATCCGAAAACCATATGATTTACATGGTTTCGTGCCCCATCCCACCTCTCCAGGGAGGCAAAACCATACTAGTTACATGGTTTCGTGCCCCATCCCACCACTCCCAGGGAGGCATCCCACCTCTCCAGGGAGACAAAACCATCATTTGGTCGCCCCCGCTGCTTCGGTCTGCTGGTGTAGCGGCGCTTGCGTTGCAGCAGGTGGAGGTGACTTGGAATCGTACTACCATCGGTCTTCACTGCAGTGGCTGCGATTAAATAGCACTCCGCGTGGGCTTAAGAGAAGCCCCCCCACGCGTCGGCCCGAATACAGTCAGGCTAGTAGGTTAACGCCGTGTGCACAAAACCATAATGCAGCGATACATTGTTTGGGAGATTATTGGCAGTCTTTTAAACCGCTCTTGGCCGATCAGTGTCTGCGTTCGAATTGTAGTTACCAGACACCTCGGCAAGTGCTTTCGTCTAGCGAACTCGTGTCGCCCACCCTCTTGTATAACCTCGACTGGACGAGGGAAATGAGACCACTCAGACCAACCTCACGAATCGGACCTCGCCAGGAAAATGAGACTACTCAAACCAACCTCCCGCTGCTGCTCCTGCTGCGGTTCCTGCTGCTGCTCTTCGCCATCATCCATCTTATCCTCTTCCTCCTCCTACTCCTCCTCCTCCTCCTCCTCCTCCTCCTCCTCCTCCTCCTCCTCCTCCTCCTCCTCCTCTTCCTGGAGGGTATCAGAAAACATGCTGTTTACACGGTTTCGTGTCCCCCCTCCACTCCTCCAGGGAGGCCGCGCTTGAACGAGGAGGGTCGCGGAAAGCATTACTCTTCGCCAGGTTTCGTAGCCCTCCCCCCTTCCAGCGGGGCCCCGCCAAAGCGAGGAGGGCATCAAGAAAATGGGTCCCACGAAACCGTTAATCTCTTTATGTGGGGAGCTCCGTTAGCATAATTTTTATCATGTGGGCCGAGGTCGCAGACGGACGGCATCGCAAGACCGAGGCCGAAGACTAATACCCAGGCCGAAGACCAACTTGCATCGCAAGACACAGCTGCAAAACCATGGCCGAACACCGACGCCCTGGGGCACTGGTCGAAGCCGGCAACCACGCCAAACCCATCGGACAAGCCACCCCGAAGACCGACGCATATGCAGTAGTAGAAAACAAACGACACTTTCAAGTTCATATCAACAGCTAAGAAACTGGAGCCGCAGCTTAACCCAAACAAAATTTAAAACAACAAATTGACCCCAAAAACCTTCACACCAAAACGAAGACTGATTTCCGTTTTAGTCGCTTTCCCCGCCCGCGTCGGGGCCATTCCTACAGACGACCCCGTTCTCTGATCCCCAGACAAGCCCCATGCATCGTTTCTGGCATGTTGCGCGGAAGTTCCTGCACGACGGCGTCCCCGTGGAGCAGTGAGCACAGGCGAAAGCAGATGGTCGGGTGGCCAAGCTCAAGCAGCAGGTGAAGGACATCCACAACCAGCTGCCGGGCCGCCGAGAACAGGGCCGAGCAGGCAGGCAAGAAGGTCGATGCACTCCGAGCGAAGGCGAAGTAGCTGGCCAGGCCGCCCGTCAACAAGAGATGGGACCCAGCCTGCGCCCACCTCGAGCTGGCCGAGACATCCTCGGCGGCAGACGGGAGGGAGGCCGACGAGGCGGTCACGAAGCAGCTCGAGGAGGCCATCGCCCTCGCAGCGAAGGAGAAGGGTCACGCAGCGGAGACCACGGCGGTGCCCATGGGCGAGGAGGACGGGCTCGACACGTCCGATGGCGGCAGCGGGCGTGGCAAGAGGCGTGCACGAGCGACCCCAACGGAGCGGAGTGAAGACGTCCTCTCAAGCTCGAAGCCAAGGCGCCCCCGCAGGAGGTCGCAACCGCGCTGGAGTAGGCGAGCGCCAATGGCGAGGACGTCCAGAAGCACGGGCCCACGCTGCACACCATCCCGGCTGCTGTGGATGATGGCTTTCATGTCGCTATGCGGAGGTCAAGCCTGTCGAGTCCCTAGCCGTGGGAATGAGGATGGTGCGAGCACCGGGACGAGCAGGCAGGCGTTAGTTACAAACAACGCGAACACTGCAAACGGGTTCAAGAGGGCTCTGCACCGGCTGCGAGACCAGGTCGAGGCGCCCATCGTCATCGGCCAGGAGCTCCAGCTGGGGCAAAGGCAAGACGAGCTGCTATCGGCCAAGTTGAGCAACAACGGCTGATGGCGGCAGTGGTCGCGAGTGGACCCACAGCCGAAAGCGTGAGGGCAGGAGTAATGAGAGCGGCGACGAGCCAATTGCGGGATTACTCACCTGCCCGAGCTGATGCAGTGGGGCATGGCTCCCGAGGAGCTACTAATGAGATTCAGCGGGGGATGCGTCAAGACGAGCCGTTGCAACGGCATCGAGGTCGGCCCCGTGTACCTGTGGGACCGCATCCAAGTGGTCAGCAAGGGTTTCTACCAGGGCAGCGGGCATAACGCTGCCCGCATCAGGACGATCAAGGAGGCGATGATGTTGAAGTGAACCCACGTGCCGCTCCCCAACCAAGCACGCTGAGGAGCTAGAGACGCAATGGGCCCACCTGTTCGAGACCATCATCGACTACATGAAGGAGCTGCGCAGCTCGGCCGAGTGTCTTGAGTGCATCCAGCACTGGCAGCAGGTGGCGGCCCGAAAAGCTGAAGCGGAGAGACAGAGCGCGCTGACCGACGAGGTAATCCATGCGGTCGAGAAGCCGCTCAAGCCGCAGGTGTCGGGGAATGAGCACAGCATGACGGCCGGTGTGGCGTCCCACGGCAGCATCGTGGAGCAGATTCAGCAGGCAGAACAGGCAGATGGGCAGCCACGTCGTGCGAGAGGCCGTGCGCCTGGGCGCGACCCAGTCAGCTACGGGGCGGAGGCGTGTCGGAGCCCAGTCGAAGCGGACAAGGCTGCAGGAGGAGCTGCGCAGGTGGTGGTCAGATTCGGGGGGCGTGTCGTCGGAGCTGCACGGCACGTGCTTCCAAGGGGCGATCGGCACGCTGGCCGCCAGGGAACTGCGGGTGGTGGCAGTTGGTTGCCCGGGGTGCAGCACGGGGGAGGCCGAGGGCGCCGGCGTGGCTGGCCAAGGGCGCAGACCCCGCCGCGACAGTCAACGCGGGGCCCGTCGTCGAGCGGGCCGAGGCGTGGCACGAGGCGTCCGACTCCGAGGCGAGCGACCCGCTCGGCGCGGCCTGGCGCTCGTGGGCCGTGCGACTGCACGGGCGCCCGAGGCCAGGAGGCCTCGCGAGAGGGCCCGCAGGCGCGCCCATCGCCACAGTGATGCGCCTCGGGTGGGGCACCCCGAGCAGCCCCGTGACGATCAGGTGCAGGAGGAGGAGGAGAGGAGGAGGAGGAGGAGGGAGGAGGCGGCGAGGGAGGAGGAGAGAGAGGAGGCGGAGGCGGAGGCAAAGCGCGAGAGGAGCCTGCGGCTCCGCCGTCGCGCCCCGAGCGGGCGCGGCCGGCTGCGGCCGCGCGGCGCCGCCCGGCGGGCCCCGGGGCGGCGCCGCGGCGGCGGCGGGGGCCCGCCGCCCGCGCGGCGGGCGGCCGCGGGCGGCGCGCCCGCGGGAGGCACAGATGCACGGCTTGTCTCAGACTGCTGTGCTTGACCTGTGGCCCTTGGGCCGCCAGGCCACGCACTCTGATCTACATGATGCCCCGGCTGGCGAGGTCGGGTCCCGAAGCCAATGTGTCTAGGCACGCCTCTCCTGAACTGTGTTGTATGCTGCTCCGCAGGGCCCAAACATCGGAGTGGAAAGCAGAGCATCGCATGCGTGCTAGGACTTTCTTTGCAAGAGGCACGTGGCCACAGCAGAGAATCTCCAAGGCAGGTCGAGCGACTACAGAGCAGTGCCAGGTGTGCATGAGTGCTGCAGGTGTCGACTTGCAACGCACGTGTTTCTGCAGCGCGCGCGAGGAGCAGCGCAGGCGTGTTGGCGGAAGACGTGCGCAGCAGAGAGGGGAGAACCCACGCCCAGGCGTTGAAGCCCTCTGGGCCAGTGGGATTGTGCAAAACCCGCTCGCAGTCCTGGATGTTCTGCCAGTCCCGGGCCATGGTCGGAAGGAAGGCTCACTGCACCGACCCTGCAGACGTGCGGCAGCGGATTTCTCAGAGTGGAGCTCTGCCACTGCAAAGCTCCGACACGGCGAGTGAAAAACGACATGAATTTCGCGTGGAGTTGTTTCAGGCTTCATCCCTGGCCAAAAAGATCCGCACGAAACTCACCTCGAAATCCGGAGCGAAATTCTCCAGGACACTCCGGGCCCATGCTGTCGTTTTCCGAACGACATCGGCTCTGCGATGCTGGCGCGATGAGAAGGCGAACACCCAAGAGCTGTCACAGGAGAGGATCCCGCAGGCGGATCTCTCCCGTGCGTCGAGTTTCCCCCCCTCCCCCCCCCCCCGCAGGCGTGCTAGATGTAGTTCTGTTGCCCTGGATGCCTCGAGAGAAATTCTAGAGCTGCAGTCAGTCTCCTGCCCCCGCCACAACTTACGGCAAGTTCGCGTCGTGTCGACCTCTGACCACGGCGTTGGTTCCTAACACTGCGGGGATCGTTCAAACTTGAACGATCGGCAATTCCGTGAACGCCGGATCGTTCAACGGCGGGCCGATTCTGGGCCACGGGCGGCGTTCAACCTCAAACGCACGCGGTGGGGTCGCCGCCGGTCGGCACGACGCGACCCTGCCGCAGGCGAGGCAGGTACCCAGCAGCGCCGTTTGCTGTACTTCAGGTGTTGAGGTGGTGTGTAATGATGGGCCTGTTTTCCACTACCACCACCATAAGTTGGAGGGGGTTCTCCTCCTCCTCCTCACCCCTCCCCCTCCCCCTCCTCCTCCTTCTCCTCCTTCTCCTCCTCCTCCTCCTCCTCCTCCTCCTCCTCCTCCTCCTCCTCCTCCTTCCTCCCCCCTCCAACTTATGGTGGTGGTGGTGGCAAATAAAACAGGCCCATCATGCAGTGCCGCCCCTCACGTTTTCCCGCGAGTGCCAGGCCGATGTCGGTGGGACGTCCAGGGGAGAAGGGTGGGGCGCGGCGCCTGCCAGGGCTCACGGCGACCTCGGGCGCGAGTGGAGGAAAGAGAACTATGCACCTACACCGACTCCAGCCCGGCCCACCCCTGAGCCGGTGCACACGCCCTCCTACCTTGGCCAGGAAGGCATATGCACCGATCCTGGGTCAAGGATGGGCGTTGTCAGGATCGGTGCATGTGCACAGCTCTCTTCGCCCGAGCTTGGAGTTGTCGGTCCCCGGTCCGTCCAGGTGGCCAGAACTTGAGCCCACGCCACTTGTGCCCAGAGGCGCGAGAGTGGCGAGAGACTGCTCTCTGGCAACCGCTTCGCGGACAGATACGCGAAGCAGGGAGCCAAACTGTGTGAGCATCCGTTCTGGCAGCGCCGAGCGCACAAGCGGAAGTAGCGCAAGGCAACCGATGATCTAGAGAGTGCTGTCAGGACAGGAGCCACGTCGTCCGAGGCCGTCGACCCTTCGACCGACCCCGAACCAAGGAGCAGCATGGGCACCGCCCATAGTCAGGCCGCCGAAGCGATCCCTGCTCCGCCTCTGATGCCTCCCCCTCTCCTCTGTGCGCCCCAGGGACCGTCAGGAACCCCGAGGCCACGACTCGGACTTCGAGCGAGCCGTCGGGCGCAGACGCTGTTGCAAGCGATGCCCGTGAGGCCCGTACCATCAAGGCACGAACGTCAGGACGCCACCTCATGGTCCGACCCGACGTTGTACGTTGCGAGCGCTGCTCGTCCTACGCTCAGTGTAAGTGGACGAGCCGTGTGAAAGGGGGTTGCAGGCCCGCCAGAGCTCGGACGACCGAGGGTAGTCTGACGCGCTGGCGGGAGGGCCGTTTCTGGCGATGGGGACGCCCGTGTGAGGATTCGCTTGCACGGCAGAGCAGTCGGGCCTTGTGTTTTCCATCAGGGTCCAGACCAAAGTAGCACAATCCTAGCACAATCCTTCTCCTTGTCCTCGTCCTCGTCGCCGTCGGCCTCCTCCTCCTCCTCCTCCTCCTCCTCCTCCTCCTTCTACTTCTCCTCCTCCTCCTCCATCATCCCCCATCTCTCGAAGCCGCTATCGCTTGTACAATATACCACGCTCGCTCTCCGGGGGTCATGGACTCGCATACATTACCGCTAGAACCGCGCTTAGGTTCTATCAAGCCCCAGCCACTGACAAGCTCACGGCTGCACGCATGTATGTACCACGCACGGCTTCACCATGGTTCGACTGAAGCGTAAGAGTGCGGACCGATCAGAGCAGGGTCTCTTTGGAGATTCTCAAGGGCGCTTCACCGGCTCATCGGTAAGTCCTGAGGTCACCTTGGGTGTGTGTGTGTGTGTGGAGGCTATCAGGGGGAGGCATTCAGTCTTCGTTGGGTCGGTCTTGGGCAGTCTCTGGGCCGATAATAGGTGTCCTGAGGTGGACTCCGGGGAGTGAGGCGGCGGAAGCAGAACGAATCGGCGGCAGGTGAGCAAGAGGAAGAACTTCCTCCATTCCCTCCGTCTCTCACTCCATCACCTCCTTCTCCGCCCCCATGTCCTCCTCCTCCTCCTCTCCTCCTCCTCCTCCTCCTCCTCCCTCTTCCTCTTCCTCCTCCTCCTCCTCTTCCTCCTCCTCCTCTTGCTCGCCCAGCTCGTGAGCGGGCCCTCGGCCGCCCCGATCCTCGGTGGTGACCCAGACGGCGGCTCCGCGTCGTCGCCGTCCTGGCGCGCGGAAGTGAAGGCAGGGGGTGGGGACGGGCTCAATCCGCATCGGAGAAGGGGAGGGAAGGAGGATAGGAGGAGAGAGGAGGAGGAGGAGGAGGAGGAGGAGGAGGAAGAGGAGGAGAGATGGAGGAGGAGGGAGAGGAGGAGGAGGAGGGAGGAGGATGAGGAGGAGGAGGAGGAGGAGGAGGAGAGGAGGAGGAGGGAGATGAGGGAGGAGAGCGGACAGACGGACAGACCCTTCTGGGCTCTAAAGCTGATTTGCCGCACTGAACGTGCATTGTGACAGCTACAGCTGCTGCTTTCGGGTTCTAACGCCGCGAGGAGGCGCGATGCAGCAATCACCCCATCCCTGGAAGCGAGGGGCCCGGGACGAGGGAGTGAGGAATGAAGGATGAGAACAGGCAGAGGACATTGGGGGGGGGAGGAGGAGGAGGAGGAGGAGGAGGAGGAGGAGAGGAGGAGGATGAGGAGGAGGGAGGAGGAGGAGGAGGAGGTTGGAGGAGGAGGAGGGGGAGGGGGAGGAGGAGGAGGGCAAGATCAATCAGTCAACGGACCACGAAATCGGGTGGGATCGGACCGTGCGCCGGGGGGGGGCCGGCTGCGCCGTGCGAGCGTCGGGCGGCGTCGGATCGCGGGGACAATATCTGAAGCGACTGGGATCGCGCCAGCTGGAAGCCATGTCGGATCGGAAAGGCGGGTCGACATGGACCCCGTGGGGGCAGGACGGCGTCTTCCTCAGCAGGCGTGCTCGGCGCGCACTCCCAGCGCTCAGCATCCCGGGGCCGCGAAGTCGAGAAGCGGGGTCGACGCCAACAATCCTGCGGCGCGAATCCAATTTGCAACCCGAGCCGGCCTGCTCCCTCCTGCCTCGGAATCTCTGGTCTTGCCGTCGCGCGGACGTCCAGTGCCCGCGCCTTTGTTCGGTTTCGTGCGCGCCATTCTTCGCGGGATGATCCCCGTAATTAGGTGCGAAACGATGCCTGGAGGGGAAGGGGGGGGTGGAAGCAGGAGAGGAGGGGGAGAAGGAACAGGAGGAGGAGGAGGATGCTCCTCAGTGACCCCCGCCGAATTCACATGCCCGCGTCCGAGCGATGCCGAGGTTAGTGGCAGGGTGCCGCGAGCGCCCACGGGACAGCTCCAGACCCACCCTGGCCGCCCTCCTCCTCCCCGTCCCGTCCCACATCCTTCCTCCCTCCTCCTGCCCCCCTTGACGTGGAC